TGTTGGCCAGGTGGTCTCAAACTCCTGACCTCAGGTGATCCACCCTCTTTGGCCTCCCAAAGTGCTGGGATTATAGGTGTGAGCCACCATGCCTATCTCATACTCTTACTTTCTAGGGGGTCCTTGTTATGTTGGTTACCTGAATTGTGATATTTTACAGTTTTTAATATCAGGTTCAATTCAAGATACTCCAAATGTATCTCTGGTCCCCACTTGGATTTAAACGATTCCTAGGTATGCTTGTGGGTGGTCTGCATAATATGACAAAATATATGACAGCCATCTTCTTTTTTTTTAATTATTATACTTTAAGTTCTGGGGTACATGTGCACAATATGCAGGTTTGTTACATAGGTATACATGTGCCATGTTGGTTTGCTGCACCCATCAACTCGTCATTCACATTAAGTATTTCTCCTAATGCTATCCCTCCCCCAGTCCCCAACTCCCTGACAGGCCCCAGTGTGTGATGTTCCCCTCCCTGTGTCCATGTGTTCTCATTGTTCAACTCCCACTTATGAGTGAGAACATGCGGTGTTTGGTTTTTTCTTCTTGTGTTATTTTGCTGAGGATGATGGTTTCCAGTTTCATCCATGTCCCTGCAAAGGACATGAACTCATGCTTTTTTATGGCTGCATAATATTCCATGGTGTATATGTGCCACATTTTCTTTATCCAGTCTATCGTTGGTGAGCATTTGGATTGGTTCCAAGACTTTGCTATTGTGAACAGTACTGCAGTAAACATACATGTGCATGTGTCTTTATAGTAGAATGATTTATAATCTTTTGGGTATATTCCCAGTAATAGGATTGCTGGGTCAAATGGTATTTCTAGTTCTAGATTCTTGAGGAATCACTACACTGTCTTCCACAACAGTTGAACTAATTTACACTCCCACCAACAGTGTAAAAGCGTTCCTATTTCTCCACATCCTCTCCAGCGTCAGCTGTTTCCTGACTTTTTAATGATCGCCATTCTGACTGGACAGCCATCTTCTTAATCTTTCCATGAAAGCAATTCTTTATGGACTGCTAACTTATACTGACAGCTTATGCATGTATTGAATTCTTTAAACAGACCACTTCATTCTGGAATTTAGTAATTTGATTCTTCTCTCTGTTTTTCATGGTCAATCTATGTAAAAGTTTGTCAGTTTTTTTTTTTCCAAGGAAGTAAATTTGGTTTTATTTCCTGTATTGTTTCTCTAGTCTCTATTTTTGTCTGTTCTAATCTTTATTACTTCCTCTATTTTGCTTTTCTATACCTCATTTATTAAGTTTTCTAAAATTAGGTAATAGTGTTGATTTTTATTAAATCCTATTTGGGGCATCTATATAGGTCATATGATTTATCTTACTGGTCTATTAGTATAAATTTATTAATATATTTCCTAATATTAATTTATTCCTGAATTTCTACTAGATTACTGTGACATAAAAGGGAAGAGGATATTGGTTCTCTTAAATACCTTTTGTATTTATCAAATATCTGAAGTTAGTATATATGATTTTAATGATTAGAAACATATGATTTTTATTTTATGTTTAAAAATGATAAAGCTATAGAAAAATAATATTAAGTATCTGAGTGTGGCAAAATTTGATAAAATTGAAGAACATGGAGAAAATCTCAAAGTATTTTATTACATATAAGAACTCTGTGTCAAGATATATAATAAGAAAAACTGTGAAAATATGCATGTAACAAACAAAAATAGCAAAAAAAAAAAAAAAAAAAACAAATTCTTACTCAGTAGGAGCTCCTTAAATGGGAAAGGTCCAAAACCATCTTAGTATATAAATAAGCTAATTAGCAGAAAAGACAATCTAAAGCAAAGGAAATGGAAAGCATTAATACATATTTGGAAAGTTGTTACCAGCATTATAGACATTTAAATTAAGTTGAGTTGTTACGTTCATCTAAGAAATCAGCCCAAGATTTTAAAAATGGATATTACTCAAATGTTGGTGAGAGTGTCGTTTGAGAGGAGAAACTCACATATTCTTGCTTTAAGTGTAGTTGGTGTAAGCTTTTTGGAAAGCAATATGACACTCTTTCAAGGGTCTTAAAAATGTTCATACATTGTGACTAAATAAGGGAAAAAAAAGCTGAAAAAATATAAAATGATTTAGGGACAAAGAAGTTCAACTGAGTAGTGATTTTAATAGCAAAAAAGTGCTAAACATATATATGTTCATAATTAGCACATTAATAATAAGATTCAATGTTTTCCAGCTATTAATATTATAAAGGATTTTTAATACCATAGAAAACACTGCTAATATAATACTATATCAAAAAAGGATATAAATTTTGTTCAGTTAAATTAAAATTTGTCAAAAATGCAAAGAAAAATATATATAAAATAAGGAAGGAAACATGAAGTCTAAAAAATCTTCACTGGAAAATAGAATAGGTCCAAAGACTTATTTTTTGTAAGAGGCATCTGTCATAATTTATTTAACTTATTCTATTTATTTGGTTTATTCAGTTTTTCTCCTTTTCGAGTCCACTACATATACTTCTGGAAAATTATGTGTTTTCTTAAGCTTTTCAATTGTATTAGCTTTGGTTTGGATAAAATTTGCTTAGAATTAAACAAAACCTATACAGTTTTTATATTCCCTATATTATTTGTAAATGGTATGTCTCATTTTGTCTTCTTTTGTGTTGGTTTGCTTAATTATCTTGTCAGAGTTTGGACTATCTTATCGATTTTTATATTTAAAATGAAAGCTCTTAGATTTATTTATAAGTTCTATTATCTTTCTGTTTCCATATTTTATATGTATTTTTATGTTCAATATTATCTTCCTCTTGCCTTCCTTAGGAATTCTTTTTCCTGCAGGTTTTTTTTCCCTTACTTTCTTGATTTTGAATGCCTTTTCTTTTTTTAAATAAACTATTTAAAGAGCAATGGCTTTAATTCTTACCACAACCATGATTAAATCCCATAAGTTTTTATATATTCAGTTCTCGTCTCCATTGTTGGTTCCATAAACTACGGATATTTTAGAATTGTCTGTTTAGAATTCTAGAAATATCTAGAATTTGGTAGCTCTCTTCCCTTGACTTCTGGTTACTGGTAATTGTTTTCTTCATCTCTTTTGTCTTCCTTCCTCCTTTTCCTCCTTGTTGTCATCAGAAAATGGGGTATAACACAGGCAGTTTCAGGAAATAGTTTTGCTAGGTGGTGGTAGTGATGGGTGTTAGGGGTGTGGCTGGGTAATTCTTAGGTCTATGGTGCCCCTGACTGAGCTAATGGGGAATGGTGAAGATGAGTCAGAATTTTTCTCTTCTTCTTCGGAGCTAGCATGTTCTTCTGGATTAGCTGATGAATGAGCTATGGCTGCATTTTGCACTCCAGCCTACTACTGTAGAGGACTACCTGCTCGCAAACGAGGCATTAAACGAAGCAGGGCGTTGGGGGCTTGTTTATGTGTAAACATCTTGAAAATCTAGAAAGTCAGGGAAAGGTCAGAAAAACAACAATGTGTCTTGTGACTTGGCAACATTCCACAAACGACTGTATAAAATAGAGCGCACCATTCGAGGCGGCCGCCATGTTTGTCTTGTCTTGTGTTATCTTGTGTGTTCATTCCTTTGTTTAGGAAACACACGGACCCCAACATACTACTGCTTAATTTAATGGAAGTATCTCTATATTATGATACCTAATATTTTAAGCTAGAGCGGTTGTGTGTGTGTGTGGACGGAGGAGTTTGTTGGTAGGGGGTGGGTGTATTTCCACAGGTACTTGGAAGAAGACATTCCAGGTATTGTAGGTGCTATGGTTTGAATGCGTGCCCTCAAATTCAAGTGTTGCCAATGTGGTATATTAAGAAGCAGGGCCTCTAAGAGGTTATTAGGTCATAAGGACTCTTCCCCTCATGAATAGGACCAAAGCCCCTTTAAAAGAGGCTCATGCAGGCGAGGCACGGTGGCTCACACCTGTAATCCCAGCGCTTTGGAAGGCTGAGGGGGGCGGATTATGAGGTCAAGAGATCGAGACCATCTTGGCTAACATGGTGAAACCCCGTCTCTACTAAAAATACAAAAATTAGCTGGGTGAGGTCGCGCGTGCCTGTAGTCCCAGCTACTCAGGAGCCTAAGGCAGGAGAATTGCTTGAACCCCGGAGGCGGAGGTTGCAGTAATCTGAGATTGTGCTGGTGAACCTCCAGCCAGGCGACAGAATGAGACTCCATCTCAGGGAAAAAAAAAAAAAAAAAAAAGCTCATTCAGCTCCCTTGATCTTCCATTTTTCTGACCTATGAGGATTCAGTGTTTCTTCCCTCTAGAGGATGCAGCAATAAGGTGCCATCTTGGAAACAGACAGTAGTAGTCACCAGACATTCACACCTGTCAGTGCCTTGATCTTGGACTTCCTGGCATCTTGAACTGTGAGAAATAAATTTCTGTTCTTTATAAATTACGCAGGTGGTGGTGTCTGTTATGGCAGCACAAATGGACTAAGACAGATAACAACTTTTTATTCTTAGCCTCCTTTTAAAAGTCAGGTATCCTCAGAAAATGTTACTTTGGTAGTGGAGAAATAGGCAAAAAGCCCTAAGAACTGGTCCTTTATCACAGCCCAAATCACCTACCTGCAGATGACATTAGAGTTAGTATCTCCTATTCAGATTCCATTGCTAAGCTCTAGAGGCCTCCCCTTGAATTTTCTACATATCCTTCAAACTCAACGTAGTTAACCCAGAACCCATCATCTTTCTTCCTGAGCTCCCTTCTTTGTCTCTATTTTTTATTTTGTTAACTTGCACCACCATTTAACCAGTTCCCAACTTAGAATCATCCCACATCCTTCACTTATAGGTTATGAAGAATCTTAATATATTTGGACATTGTCCCCTTGTCTCCATCCTCACAGCCATTGCCTTGGTGAGGCTTTCACTTGTCTGAATTATTATTATTATTTTTAGAGTTATAGTCCAATCTGTATTTAAAAATCTGGTGTACCAGCTTAGTGTTTTCCACCAACTCAGGGAGCTGAAATTGTCACAGGCTTCACAATCTTTTGTTCAGGTGCTGCCTTTGTAGGTGCTTTAGCAGCAGCCATTGCAGTCTCTTTAGATGCTTGCTTAGCCTTTTGTGCTTCCTTAGCAGCCCTGGTAGCTTGTTCTCGTTGAGCCATTCTAACTTCAGGTTTCTGATTCTTCTTGGCCATGATGTCAGCAAGAGATGCACCAGTAATGGCTATCTGGAATTTGACTGCTTGGCGGGTTCTTTTCTTTTGAATTTCTTCCCACTGTCCCTTTTTGTGCTTCTTTCTGTAGAGGATAGTCCAGTTTATTTGCTGAGGATTCCTCTTGGAAATAAATGCATTAAGAAACTGGAAAACCTTCTCGTCCATCCTGGTGTAGTCCCTCCCGTGTCCGGGGTGGATCTTGTACCCACTGAAACTGCACGACCTGACCTTCAACTGCTTTATCTTTTTTTTTTTTTTTTTTAATTAACTTATTTTTTTATTATTATTATACTTTAAGTTCTAGGGTACATATGCATAACGTGCAGGTTTGTTACATATGTCTACTTGTGCCGCGTGGGTGTGCTGCACCCGTCAACTCGTCCTTTACATCAGGTATAACTCCCAATGCAATCCCTCCCCCTCCCCTCTCCCCATAATAGGCCCCGGTGTGTGAGGTTCCCCTTAAAAGCGGCGGCTCCACGGGAGGAGAAAAGCTGGCGAGGAGAAGCACTTGTCTGAATTATGATGGCAGCCTCCTACTAAGCTTCTTGCCTCTCATTTGGTCCCACAAAGCTACTCAAGCGGTCCTTCTAAAAATGCAAATTGGATTTCATTCCTTCACTCCACTTGGTTTTCAGGATGAAGGTAACATTTCTCAGCTTAGAACAAGGCCCTTCAGGAATTTGCCTTTGCTTGCCTCCCTGTCTGCAGAGCTCACCACTTTCCATCTTACATGATTCACTTTAGCCAGATAGAACCACCTAAGGTCACTGAAGGAGGCATTATTGCATTTTGAGTATTAATACAAAAAACCTTTATTTTGAAATAATTTTGAACATACAGAAAAAATGCAAGATTACTATCAAAAGCTCTCATATACATTTCACCTAGATTTACCAATTGTTGACATTTTACCACATCTCTTTTGTCATTCTATCTACGTAATCAATCATCATCTCTCTTGTATTTGTTTTCTGAACTATTTGAGAGTAAGTTGTAGCCATTATGTCCCTGTGTTTCTAAATTCTTCAGTGTGTATTTCCCAAGAACAAACGCATTCAGTTATATTATACAAACACAGGGAAGTTATCAAAATCAAGAAATGTAACATTGGTAAACAGTATTACCTACTTTATAGACTTTATTCCAGTTTCATTAATTTTTATAGTTATTTGTTTGTATACATGCACTCAGGGATCACCCTTCCATGTAATTGTCATGTTCCTGTGGTCTCCTGTAATCTGGACATCTGGGTGTTTTAATACCTCGATGGCTTCTCCCAGTCACTTGTCTGCCTAGGATACTTTCTTCTTCTTTATCAAGTTCTCTTACGTTTTCAAAAGTAGCACTTATAACCACTTGCGCAGACATACTTCACCAGACCTTGCAATATGGTTTTCTTAAATCTCCTTTCCTATTGCGTCACATGAAAACCTTCATCCTTGCTAATCATATTGCTTTTCTTATCTTTTTATCACCATTGCCCAGCAAAGTACTCCACATAAAGTTTGAGCTCAATACATGCATTTTAAATATTTTAATAGGTGACTCTTCCCATGAATGAGTGTTTAACATTTAGGGGTTAATACCCCTGATATCCAAAGAGTTTCTTCAGATTGATTAAAATGTGGGGAAATGGGCTGATGGGAGTATGAATTGCAGTCACCTCATGAGAAGGCAATTGGCAGTATCTAAAAAAATCAAAAATTTTAAAAATTAAAAAGTGCTGTTTAAGGGGCTATATCCTATGATGAAACAAATACTAGCACCTAAGAATATAAGTGCAATGAAGTTTCTTGTAATATTTTTTATTGTAATAAAACATACCAGAAACAATTTGAATGTTCATCACTAGAAGCATATTTGAATATATTGTAGAATATTCATACAGTTAAAAAGAAATGAATATTGTGGAATATCTGTACAATATAATGGATAAGCTACTGCTATTACACTGAATAAAAGAAGCCAAACACCAAAGGATGCAAACTATATAATTTGTTTGTAGGAAATCATAAAGCAGGCAAAATTAGATCTGTGGCTGATCTACTGTTTGAGGACTTGTTTGACTAGAAAGAGATATGAGAGAACTTTCTGGATGGTGGAAATGTTCCATATCTTGATATGGGTATCAGTCAGTTGTGTGGGTATATGTTAAAACTGATTAAATTGTACACTTAAGGTCTGTGTCTCAATAATATTGTTAAACCTGGGCAACATAGCAAGACCCTGTCTCTACTAAAATGAAAAAAAAAATACTAGCTGGGCTTATCGGTGCATATCTGTAGTCCTAGATACTTGGGAGGCTGAGGTAGGAGGATCACTTGAGTGCAGGAGTTCAGGGCTATAGTGAGCTATGATCACACCACTGCACTCCAACCTGGGTGATTAAGTAAGACAATCTCTAAATAATAGCAATAATAACAACAATATTGTTAATAAGAAATGTGCATAGCCCCTGAGTTAATTGCTCTGTTTTGAGGGCTATATCACAATGAGCTATAGCCCCAATTAACCTGCACAGAAGAATACGTGTACAAGAAAGTTTATTGTAATAGTGTATATTATAGTAAAGCATCCACCAAAAACTTGAAAATATCCAAAATGTTCATCTCTAGAGAAATAAATATATTTTGATATAGTTATAATGGAAAATGATGTAATTACTTAGAAGATAAGTCAACCTAAATGTACTGATCTGGAGGGGTGTGCATGATATATTCTAAGTGAAAAAAATGCAAATTATTGAATAGTGTAGAACAATTTTTATATTTTATTTTATTTTCATTATTATTATCTTTTGAGATGGAGTTTTGCTCTTGTTGCCTAGGCTGGAGTGCAATGGTGTGAACTTGGCTTATTGCAACTTCCGTCTCCCAGGTTCAAGCAGTTCTTCTGTCTCAGCCTCCTGAATAGCTGGGATTACAGGCAGGCGCCACCACGCCCGACTAATTTTGTATTTTTAGTGGAGACAGGGTTTCTCCACATTGGTCAGGCTGGTCTTGAACTCCCAACCTCAGGTGATCCTCCCACCTTAGCCTCCCAAAGTGCTGAGATTACAGGTGTGAGCCATCGTGCCCGGTCTGAGTAGTGTATAGTATTATTTTATAAAAAGGAGGAAAACCTTTCTGTATAATTATGTTTGTATAGCATATGGAAAAAAGGTGTGAAGAATCCATACCAAACATGATACAGAGAATCTAATGAGTATATATTTCCACAGTATGTACTATTTTTATAATTAATTTTATTATATGTAATTATAACATTATAAATAATTTTATAATTTAAAAAACCCAGTAAAGTAAGTTCATTCACAAAAAATTCATGCAAGTAATGAGTAAAAAAATACCTGTTTTCTCCTTCTACTGTGCTCTTACAACACAGAACACTTCTGTGACCAGATGTGTGGGGCTTTTCCACACATACAAGCGAGCAATCAGTTCTGTAGCAGACACCAACTGGGCGTCTTCTAATTCAATTCGAGTCTGGCAGTATCCACTTGGAGGTAGCATCAGGTCTCACAGGTTGAGGGCTCGGTCCCACAAGACTGCCCCTCACTTTAGGAGCCAGTCATTAGTCAGGGTTTCAGGAACTTCTGACCCACTGGCTATAAACTGGGGTTTCCAGGGCCCCTTCTCCAGTTTGATTAATTTGCTAAAGCAGCTCCTAGAACTCAGGGAAACACTTTACTTATGTTTGCCTGTTTATTTCGAAGGATAATTTAAAGGATACAAACAAATAGCCAGATGAAGAGAGAAGTGCAAGGTCTAGAAGGTGCCTGAGTACAGAAACTTCTGTCCTCATGGAGTTGGGGTGCGCCTCCCTCCTCACGTGTGGATGAGTGCTTGCTTGCCAATGTGGAAACCCCCTGAGGGCAGTAGGACTGAAAGTTCCAATCCTCTAATCTCATAGTTAGTTCCCTTGGCAACCAGCCCCCATCCTGAGGTAATCTAGGGGCTCACAGCCACCAGTCATCTCATTAGAACACAAAAGATACTATTTTTCTTTTTTTTCTGAGACAGTATAGTCCGTTGCCCAGGCTGGAGCACAGTGGCATGACCACAGCTCACTGCAGCCTCGACCTCCTAGGTCAAGTGATCCTCCTGCCTCAGCCTCCCGAGTAGCTGGGACTGCAGGCGAGCAGCCACCACATCTGGCTAACAAACGATACTCTTATCTCTTGGGAATTCTAAGGATTTTGAATGCTTAAGTCAGGAAATGGGGAAGAAGACCAAATATGCATTTCATAATATCACACAAGGAAACATGGGGAAGTAATAGAAGTCCGAAATAAAACTAGTTGGGGAAACTCATTTCTAGTTGGAGTCTATAGTTTATTTGACTTGATTCCAGTGTTTCCATTCCAACCATCCTTTGCCTTTTTGTCCTTTATCTAATTGTCCTTTGTTGAATAAAATTGTTAAATGAATAATATGGATGAATGATATCAGTGCCCTTGAAAAAAAATCACCTGAAGAACATGACACTGTGGTTCCATTGAAGTTAAGCATATGAGTAAATTAGTAGTTTAAGAGCGGTGAGCCACCAATTTAGCAAATGTAACATTTGGCAAATATGATTTATGTTGTGGGGACGAGGCAGAGATGTTTTTGTGTGTCCTGTGTTTATTTAACCTAACATTTTTTTGAGAGGTGCACAATTATGATGTACACAGAATGGACAAAGTGAAAACAAATGTTTGTGTGGTTGGGCTTGTCCTTCTGGCTAAACCAGTCCACAGACCAACACACACCCAAGCTGCCTCCTGTTTCTATGGAGGCAGGGTGCTATAGGAGAAAGAGATGAAAACAAACAATGAAAAGGAAAGAAAAAGCCTCGGCTTCAGGGTGGGCGAAGCAGGGATTTGAATGACAGTTCACTTAGGAGTATACCATGTATAACTTCTCTAAGCCCCCTTTTCTTCATGCTGAGGGGATTGTGAGGTTTGCTGTATTTTAAAAAGACGGCACTGTGCCTGACGTGTATCAGGTCATTGAATATATTCACATATCTTCCTTCCTGGTTGCAGTGTCATATTTTTACCCGCCCAACAGCATCCTGGTATTTTTGTTTTGGAAATCCCTATATAAGGAGTGAAATTGGCTCAGAAACAAAGGGATCTATCAGTCACATGAGGCGACTTTCCATATTTCAGCTATGTTGGACATCTCTGCTCCTCTCAAACTGG